CCGAACTGTCAAAACAGATCAGTTAGATTTACGTGAAATACTCTTCGTACACATGAAATACGTGATTTTTAATTCAACAAACTAGGAAATAAGTGTAATTATTAATATTCCAGTTATGTGAGGAACCAGTTAAATCTCAGGATCTTATGAATTATTCCTACATCAGTTGGATAATATATTTATTCTGATTACTTGTCGTCTGTCGACGGTACCACATGTTTTATTTATTTTAATTTTTTTTTTATTTATTCTATCTCTCTCTCTCTCTCTCTCTCTCTCTCTCTCTCTCTTTTTCTCTCTTTATACATATATATCTTTCTCTTAAAAATTATATTAATTTTCTATGCATACGTGTATGTACTACATACACGTGTATGTTTTTTAAATATTTACAAAAAAAAAAAGACAGATTGTTAAAAATAAAGTATCTTTTACTTAGGTGAGTTGAAAAGTTTTGAGCCTCAACAACAAAACAATCTTTTATTACAAATTTCAAACAAATTGTTTCTATATTCAGGCTCAAAACTGTTCAACCCAACCCACGTGTGAAATTATTTGATGTAAATTACGTGATGTAATTTTAATTTAAAATTACATTAAATATATAAATTATCTATTGTATTTTATCTTTTAAAATTAAATTACTACAATAAAATATACTTTTAATCACTAATTCAATGATATTTTGTAAGCTTACAAAAAAGTATCTTTTATAAAATAAAACTTATTTACTTCAGATTCAATATTTAATCTTTTAATGTAATATTTAATAAACAATGAAAGTAAAATATGATTTCACACATATATACAAGTAGTAATCTGTTATTTTTAATATTAAATTTAATAATCATGAATATATTTTGCAATTTTATTTATAATTGAAATAATATTTTAGATTAAAAGGAAAGATTTAAAAATGGTAAGCAAATTACCACACGAATTCAGAAGATATCAACGCAATCGTAATCAATTGAGACAAATTTTAGATGAAACTCAACGTTCTCTTGAAGCTATTAATTCAGAAAATTTTTTCCATGGAGGTAAATATTTAATAATACAGTTCTATATATGTTTTAATATTATATCTAATTGTCATCTACCGGTGTTTCAGAAAATATCATTGAACAATTGTTACCGCCATTAACATTGGATAGAATTCTACACATATTGCAAAATTCTCCAGCCATAGTCGTCCTTGGTCAAGATAATAAGTCCAAAGCAGCGTTGATAAATAATTTACTTTCCACTGAAATTCTACCAGCATCTAACGGCTTATGGAGGTGGGCCAAATTTACTCATGGTCATACGAATCATGCCAGTTTAGTGGTGGGCTTGGAATACGAAGTTGTGGGTAAATTACAAGCCAATGAAAAAATATGGGGTACACTTCCAATTGAAGATTTGACTAAATCTGAAAACGAAGATGTTGATTGCATAACAGTTCTCGAAGTTAAACTTGATTTGAGTGTATTAAAAGATGGAGTGCAAATTTATGTTGCCCCAAATAACGGAGCAGTTAAAACTCTTGCTAAAGGAACTCTTGGCATTTTACCAATATTTCTTTACGCCTTGAGTGATTATCCTTTATCAGAACAACAACTGGAAGAATTAAGAGACCTGAAAGAAACATATCCTTACAGTCCTGTATTATTTGTGTCATCTCTTATAAATATTTCATTGGATAGTATAGATGGAGGATTAACCGAATCAGAACAACATAGACTACAAAGTACAGTAACTCAGTGTGATAATAATCTACTTAAAGATAAGGATGATGTTGATTTAGATCAAATAAATTCTCTTGGATTAATGTGGCTAGATCAACTGAATAATTTAGGTTACCTTGGAACAGAAGAATCTGTTGAAGTTGAACAACAATGGCTAGTTGGCAGTCAATGCATTAATTCTAGCAATATAATAAACTCACGCAGAAAACTGGATAGAATTTTATATTTTATTCGAGGTTGTCTTCATAGTTATCTTGTTAATGCTAGTAATTGTTTAAATGAAGTACATACAACAAGTTTACGTAAATTTATCTTAAGTGCCTTTGATATGGCACGTCAAATTCAGATTACTCCTAAGAGAATACAATATGCTCAACAGAAAGAAAATGAATTGTATGCCAATTTGATGAAAATTGTTAATGACAAGCAAGAGGAATTAATGGAACTAATAGAAAATATTATTCAAGAAATGAAAAACGATGTTATTTTATCGACCGATGATGTGCAACAATATCAAAACTTTCCTTTTGGTACGAATGAAAGAGCAGAATGGTCTGTGACTGTGCGAACAGCTACTTCGGAGATGCAAAGACTTGTACTTGGACGATTACGTGAAAGAGTTGCAAAAAAGCTCGTAAGCTCTGTAGAATGTTTAAGAGAAACATTTATAGGCACATTACAACGGTGCTTATTGAGTCTAGAAAAAACTTGTGATCACGACTCTTCTTTATTAGCTAGTGATGCCTTAAAACAAATACTTTCTGCAGCTTACAATGTGGAACTTCATAACTCTTCGCCATCTCTTGTACATTCCTTTCTAGAAAGATTACGGCAACTTTTTAAATCTCTTCCTTTGCCATGGTTTCCTACACCAACCTTAGATGGATCTTGGAGGAGAAAAGCTGCCATTGACGTTCTCAATTCTTTATCTGCAGCAAGATTAGCAAAAACAATTTCAATGCAATTCAGAGATAAATTAAAAATGTCTCACGATGCATTTCAATCTTCTTTAAAGTCTCTTGAAAATCATTGTTCTGGAAAATTAGAAAGGACAGAGGAACAAAGGGTAGCTATTAGAAAATTTTATGCGCCAAGATTAGCTAGATTGTACTTGGAATCCACATCGATGATTGATGCTGTTCGTTTTGGTATACCACATTACGGTAAAGAAATTGGTCGTGGTCAATATGGTGTAGTATTTGCATGTAATGGTTGGGGAGGAGCTCCGGGACCTTGTGCTGTCAAATCTGTTATTCCACCAGATGAACGACATTGGAATGATTTAGCGATGGAATTTTACTACACTAGATCAATACCAGATCATAAAAGAATTGTAAAATTAAGAGGTTCAGTCATAGATCAAGCTTATGGAAGTGGTTATGGAATGGGAACTGCAGTCTTATTAATTACAGACCGCTTAAGTAGAGATTTGTATTGTGGAATACATGCAGGATTATCTTGGTTGGAACGTTTGCAAATAGCTATTGATGTCTTGGAAGGAATACGTTATCTTCATTCTCAAGGACTTGTTCATAGAGACATTAAGTTGAATAATGTGCTCCTTGATACAGAAAACAGGGCTAAACTAACTGACCTTGGCTTTTGTATCACCGAAGCTATGATGTCAGGAAGTATAGTAGGTACACCTGTTCATATGGCACCAGAACTTCTTTCTGGACATTATGACAGTAGTGTAGATGTTTATGCCTTCGGCATTCTGTTCTGGCATTTATGTGCCGGTCATGTCAAAGTGCCAAATACCTATGAACAATTTCAAAACAAAGAGCAATTATGGACTAATGTAAAAAAAGGTGCAATTTATTATTTGACATTATCTCATGTTTTTAGATTTTTTTACTTAATATATCAATGTTTTTTTTGTAAAGGCATTAGACCAGAACGCCTGCCACATTTCGATGAGGAGTGTTGGAGACTAATGGAACAATGTTGGTCTGGGGAACCTTCTAAACGACCGTTACTCGGAGCAATTCTTCCAGTACTTGAATCTATTCAACGAAAAGCAGAAAGAGGCAAGTCGTTACCACAACACAACGAGCTACAACAGAATTCTACATCTGATTCTAATAATCTTGCATTAGCATTAGCAAAATCTTATAATCAAAGAGGTGTTATTATGAACCTTCCTTTAATAAAACATAGGAAATTTCGAATAATGAAACCTCCTGTCTTAAACATTACAAATATATTTCAAAGAAGTTTTTGTACAGATCCGAATTTGTATATGCATATGCGGGAATTTTAAATAATTTTTTACTGTTTTGACCTACTATTGCTAGGTAATTCTACAAACTTCTTCTAAAAGTTCTTGTTAAAATGTTTAAGATAAATGCGAGAGATGTGCTTTAATAATAATGATATTAATCCATTGCTTCTGCATTCACCAATCTGATATTTCTACAAAAATAGTATTTTCACAATGACAGTATTAATCTGGCAAATATAATATGGAATTTTTTTTTATTTATCATGTATAGAATGCAAAATGCATCCTCTTTTATATGTTTCAATTTTTTTAAATTGACTGATTATATTCCTATGGAAAACATCTCTTATGTCTAAATGAAAGAATTGCAAATATTGCATGAGCTATATATGTAATATTAGATCTAGAAATTAATTCGGTGGCTTGAATAAATACTAAATTTGTTTTAAAAAGACACTGAATTATTAAATACTGATATTAGATTTTTTTTAAATAGCAATTTTGCTTTTTCTTTCTCTCTCTTTCTCTCTCTTTTTTTCTCTTTCTCTCTCTTTCTTCCTGTAATGTATAATATATATTCATTGTTGAAAAATAAATAAAGATTTTCTATTTTGTATTAATATTCGCATATTATCATTTGGCCTTTTAATTATCCAATAATTAAGATATCAAAAAATCTACACAAACTATTTGAAAATTAAAAAAAATTTCATTTAAAATTTATAATATTCTATGTTGATTTCAGATAACAAATTATGCGGAATCCAAGCTGTTTGATCAATGCAATGGAACTTTAATTTTAATATGCCTATACAAGAGACTAGTTTATCTTACAAACAATTAAATGACGGATATATATAAATATATTTATATATAGTATTATGAAACTTACTTCGATAATTGGATTTTGAACAATTTTTTAAGATGTCCAAATGAATGGAGGAATAATCTCTGAAGGTATGCCGAACAAATTTTTCTTAATGTCATACAAAATAATCTTCGAGGGAAATTTTTAGATATTTGAAAAAGAAATTAATCAGCTTATAATCTTATCGATAACAAATAAATTATTTATATATTTATAAATGTATGACTATCAAATGTCCAATATTGTTACAAAACTCTTATTATTTATTTAAATAGAGACAAATATTACTTTAACACGTTTGCTACTGTACTATGGAGAAAGGATTTTGATCACTGTTAAGAAATTTTTTTCGTTGATTATTATTAAAAAAGTGTGACGTTGGAATCTCAATAGTAATCATTGTATAAGTGACATTGATATAGCAAACGTGTTAATATATTTATACGTAACATGTTATTCATTGATTAAAAATTTACATAACATTAATTATATGTCAGTGATATATAAAATATTTATATTATTTTTACAAATGTACTAATTAAAAATATTCAAACCAATAGGTCAAGGTTAATCTTTGCTTTCTCTAAATCATGCAGAAATTTATAAAATTCGGGAATACTCATCTCGATGAAGTGATCTTTTATTCTGTTACCTTCATCGAGAGACAATTTTAGTTGCAGAAAAGATTTGCCAACTTTATCCGAGTCATTACTTGCTGCAGTTACTGTAAAGATAAAAAAAAACAAAATTAACTTTAACACTAAACGTACCATGACCGATCAAATAAAAGAAGGAACATTGTTCACTATCCAATTGACTAAAATCTCATTTTATATAAAAATATATACTTTGTTTTTCATGGTAGGAATAGGTATACATGAAATATCAATAGTTTTAATATTAAGTTATATAAAAATGAATGTAATAACAGTATTTATTTAATTTATTACTTAAGTATTTTACTAATATATTGTATATTAGTTTTTTGTATTGAACATTACTACTTAAAATATATATTTTTATATACTTCGTATAAGCAAAATACACATTAAAATTTGGATGTACATAAACATAGTTCTAGAAATTTGTAAGAATAAGTTAAATGAAGTCATTAAAATAATATTTTTACACTTATATTTATAATATCAGACTTATCATTTATTGTCAACTTTTGTATTTGAGGTTAGCTTTACTTACCACCGAATCTCCAAGACACGTCAAGTATTTTACTAATGGTTTTCTCCATATTTTATAAATATCTTTAATTAAATACTTTCACAAATATTCTCGTCATATTCAAACAATTGTAAAACTAAAATAAAATGAAGTTCTTGTGAGTAGAATCACAATTTGACTGACACGTTCACTGTTATCAGTAAACATTTCATAATGCCAAAATAATAAAAACAACTATTTATCGATTAGAAAAAGAAATAAATAATCAAATTCGAAGAGATGCATTTTTTGATAAAATATTAACCTTGAGCACGAAATACGTGACATTAAATTTTATTCACGCACAGCAATGAAAACATGTATACATATACACTTATATGTATGTGTAATATGTATATATAAGTAGCTCAAATGTCAACAGAATTAAATTACAATTTTAACGAAGTCCAACTTGTCTTTGCTAGAAATAACAGAAAGAAGCTTTTTCTAAATGAAAATTTACATATATAAAAGATAACGTTTTTTATTATCTATTTACTATAGTATATGTGTAAAAGAACATAAGTGAATTCGAAACATATATGTAATATGTAACCCGAAGTAACATAGGAAAGAAAAGATTACATTATTTCTACTAACAATTTTTGATATATTTTTATATTCATTCAATAAAAGGGTTACATGTACATACAAATATTTATATTCATCAACGATAACTAATAAGATTTTTCACACCAAAATACTTAACTGAACAATTTTAACACTTTCTAATACATTTCTTTTTTTTACATATTTTTTTTCTGTTATTCTTAATTTAATATAAAATGAATTAAGACACTTTTACATAGATTAGTATGTATTTATGAAATATTTTATATAGTTGATGATAAAAAAATTACGAACGTGTAAGTGACTCGCAAAAACGGGAAAAAATTTAATCGAAATAATAAACGTGTTTCTTATTGTTTAATTTAATTCACGATGTTAATAAAAAAAAAAAAAAAATGAAATAAGCACGCCTGTATATAGATAAGCCCTTTGATTGGTTGACCTAACATGTCTTCTACTATTTTAATCAAATTCGATAACGATTTAATGCATAAATTCATAGACGATTTCCTCGGTTAACCTCCTTTTAATTAATCTCGCATAAATCGTGCTCCGGTGGTAGATAAAATATAGTATTCGCAAGAAAATCGGCTAACTTGAAATAATTCAATTTCCACAGTCTATCGGTCAATTTTCCCTCAGTGGTTTATTTTATGCTTCGTTTATGCTTCGAGTTATTAAAGAGTAATATAGTTGAATTTATCTAAGGAAATAATGATAATAAGTGAAATTTAATAATAAACATTTAATCATTTTTCTTTTTTTACCGATCTTTTAATCAAGATTATGAAATATATGTTTGGATGCGATTACGACAAAGAAGAGGTTATTATTATAAACGAAGCATGTCAACTTTGGATATAAGTAATTCGTTTATTCGACGCCACTGCATTCGAAATTGTCAAGCCGTAATCCGAACGACGTTACGATCTGGATTGAATTCGTGTTTCTAAACTCAACTCTAATAACAATGTAGTTTTATCGCAATGTCGATCCTCGAATATATACGATTATCGATCCGTTATGCTAATTAAATAACGATCTCGCAGAGAGAAATATATTTATACAATTACACTAAATTAGTGTTATCTCGGGGTATTATATTAGGTGTTGTGCGCATGCGTGACAGTTTTCAATAGAAAATGGAAATGCTAATTCACTTGTTACAACACGAACAATATTTAGAGGGGTTACAACTGTAATTTATTTTATTAAAAGGTATTTATAATTTAATTAAAAGATTTCAGATCAATATGCTATTTTATTATTATAATATATTATTGTATAATTTTATTTATGTTACCTGGAAGTTGTGCATATGCTTGATAATTTTCAATAAAAGAAAACGGGAATGTTAATTTATCATCCATTATATTTCGAGGTTAATACAATAATGTATTTATTAATTTAATTATTAATTTAATATACAAGGTGTCCTAATAGAAGAAGGCCACATAAATATTTCCTTTATTTTGAATGATGTAAAAAATGTTTTAGACACACTTTAGTTTCAAAAGAGGTATGTCATGAATAAAAAATTTTCTTTTAAGGTAATTTTAAGATCTTTTTTGTAAAGTCATTCAAGAGTCAGGAGGAGTCATGAGCAAGAAGCTAAAAGTGTCTGTAATAATTTTATAATTTAATTTCATAGTTAACCCGCTTATGCGTAACATCTTGCGCATAACTAATATAAGTAACTTTTTCATCAGTAAGTCTTTCATTTATTAGGATGAAATATAATACTACCGACAACAAAAATAATTTATATCTATTTAGTATTTTCTCAATAAGTTACATGAAAAAGAAAAGAACTGAGCATCGACATTGTTCTCAAAAGGGCTATTTCTTAACGGCGGGAATTTTGAAACTAGAAGAACAGTAAGTTACGCTATAATGCCATTTTCAATAAATCTTTTGGACGCAAGGTTAGTAAATACACTTGATATAGCAAGGAAAGAAAAAGGAAAAAGAAAATAAAGGGAAAATAAGAAAAAGGGAAAAAGTAGGAAAAGAAAAGGAAAACAAAAAGGAAGGTAAATGGTACGAGGGTGTTTCGGAAACCGTTGGAAACTAATAAAACGCATGCTGCTTCTCTGTGATAGCGGTTACAAATACATATATACACTAGTGTATGTGTAAATGTTAGTGTAAGTATATCTGTATGTGTGTTTACGAGCAACCACAAGTAACTTACTGCCGCAGGAAGTAAATTTGCGAAGGAAAGGTTTGTTTCTTTGCCGTTAAGACGTTATAAATTAGAAGAGAGAAATCTGACAAGGGTATCGAATATAGTCTATTCGTGGTAAAGGTTAGTTAAGGGATGATAAGAACCTCAGAGAGAGAGTAAGGGATTCTCTAACCTTCTTCAATTCCCTCGATACACACTCACACACGCACGCTTTCCTTCATCATCTTTGTTCTACTACTACGACGTTTCACATAAATACACTTGACTTCCTATTAACAAAATCTATATGAATTCCTTTAATTACAAAAATTAAATAAATCGATAAGGTAAAGATTTTTTATTCGAGTATAAAAATGAAAAATATAATTTAATTCATTCATTGGATTGACCAATAAGTAATGTGGTAAACTTTTAAAATAAAAAGTATTAATGTGTTGCCAATTCAAATATAAAATATTAAAAAGTATTTTAAATAAGTATTCTGTACCGTTATTTATTAATACGAGATATCAAAAATTTTACTCGAATGAAAAAATATGTAGCATAGATTTTTTTTAACATCAAATATATTTTAATACCTTTTTATTTATTCGAATATAAATCAATACAAATTTCCATATTACTCTATTGTCCAAACCGATAAATTAATAAATACGCGCGGTTATATATCGTTTCAAACAATTTATTAGATAAAAATTTGATCCTCTTTTTAAAAAAAAAGAAACCAAAAAATAAGCAACAAATATTTACAAAATGACACTTGTCTTTCTCTCTCACTCTATCTCTATCACTATCTTTTTCTGTTTATTTTAATCTCATTCGTTTTCGGATTTGAGTAAGGTTGGTCTATAAGATAGAAATATTTTTTGAAAAGTGCGAATACTTTGTCTAATGTAAACGAAAGAAAGAGAGAGATTCGCGAGACATACCAGCCGCGCGCCAGAGGCATAATAAATATAAATGTAGGTAAATGTCCATGGCAAAGTGGAAATAATACCCTTAAACGTAACCATTTTAAGAAAACGTACCGGGCGTTCTTTTCCATAGGAGGTGTCACTACGATAAGAAATGAAAAATTGTACGTCCCGTTAAATAAATACGTCCAACTAAAATTTTCTTCGCTTGAAAGAAAAGAAGACAATCTCGGAGAACATTTCTTTCTTTCTCTCTTTTTACTTATTCACGTTACAAAATGTTATTTCACTTTCACTTTCTTTCGCAAAGTGCTCGACATAGAGGAAAATGTGATCTCTTTGTGATCCCATTTTAAATTCATAACTGTTTTCAAGTATTATATATACTCGTATACGTTTATGTATATAAAGTGTGTGTATATGTATATAATATAAAATAAATAAATAAATAAATAAATAAATATATATATATATATATGTATGTATGTATGTATGTATATGGTAACTTCGATGACATCGGTTTTACTCATGCGTTTTCCTCGTACGAGATGCAACAAACGATTTCTATGGAAATAACTATTTTATCGGAAACGATAACTCGTGTACGCGTCGACGTTCTCTATTTAAATATCGCGCCGTATTTCGATATCTCTTTTATATAGAGTAGAGTAGAGTTAGAGTAGAGTAGAGTAGAGCAGAGTATAACGCGTGAATTTCATCTACAATTTTTTCACTCTGTTTTCCTTTATTTCTTTATTTCTCATTTGATCAGAGCAAAGCAAAGTATATTTTCTATTTTACAAAACTAACTTATAAAGTTTCTTTCATTATAATTAAGTTATAAAAAGTTATTCGCGTTTAAATTATTCACCGGTAATCATATAACTAATTTCTTTCTCTTTTTATTTTTTCTTTCTTTTCTTTCTTTATTTTTTTTTATAAGATTATTTCGGAGAAACTTGTCGAAGAGTAGTTATATATAAGTATATCCAAAAAGCTACGATATCGCATAAATACAAGCATGATTTACTCGTAACTTCGCAAGAGTAAAACAGAGATGAATGTCTGTCTAGCTGAATACAAGGTCTCTAGGAAACCTATAGAGACCAACGTAGCCAACTTAAGCCAATACCAGACCAGCATAGTAAGTACACCTAAAGAGCTACCTAACGAGCTATAACTTTTTCATGCAAGTACTTGCCGAAAGTTACGAAAATGGGGCCGAAACTTGAGAGAGAGTACGACTTTACTATGCTTTTCTAATTTCCTAAGGCACGACGTTTTCCTCGACTGACGTACCTTGTTTTATTATATATACTATCCATCCACTTCCTTTACCTACTCCTCCCCCTCCTCCTCTATTCTACCTTTTCCTTTTAACGAAAACCAAATTATTTGAGTTTGAAAAGATTCCCCACAAAAATTGACTGATTACAAAATGCCACTCTCTTTCTTTTTTTTGTTTATTTTGTATATTGTTAAATTCTGAGGTTTTTTTTTAATAAAAATTAAATTATAGGCACTAGTAAAGATTCTAATTAAAAGTTAATTGTTAAAATATTATTATGTTTTTTCT